CTGCTCAGCATGGAGTCTGCTTCTCCCTCTGACCCTCCCCCCTCTCATACTCTTTCTCTCTGTCTCATTCTCTATCTCAAATAAATAAATAAAATCTTTAAAAAATAAAAATAAAAACTATTCAAGGTCTTGCCATATAAACAAACAATTGAAAAATGAATAAGAATTTAATGATGAGAAGGTATATTATTTCATTGAATTAGCACCTGCCTTGTTGAACGTTTACTCTGCTCAAGAAACTAATAACTAGGTTTAAGAGACGTGAGCTTTACTATTAAAGGCATGCTTAACACATGTTACCAAGCAACTTGTTAACAACTCTATTCTTTGGGAGGAGTGAGATGGAAATGAGGGAGTGAGGGGATGTAGCCAGACAAAGGAAGGAACTGAGAACAAAGAAACTGGAGCAAGCTGATGGAAGTCGAGAAAAGGAGGACAATGGAGAGTAGAGAATGACAAGAAGGGAAAGGAGGAAAGACTGGGGATAATGGTTCTTTCCTTCCTTTTCTCTCCACTCTAAATGAGATGAACTTGGATTTCAGGTCCTTAAGAATGGCTCTCCCTCAGGAACACTGAGGACTAGCACAAGGATGATAAAGATAAGGGGTCAGGGGATACAGATGTGGCTGGCCACACGTCATCCTCTCTCTGCCCCCTCTCCCCAGTGAGGTGAATGATGGCTCCTAGGTCCTTGAAGCTGGTATGTCATATTATACCCAATAACACAGGGGGCACTGACTAGCAGTTCTAACTCAACCTTTGGGGTTTATAAGAAGTCTGCTGGATCTTAAGCCTGTTTGTCCTGCAGTGCATTCCTCCTTGCTCTGCCCTATTCTGTGCCTCAGAGTACTGCCCCTGAAGGCTGCTTTCTCAGACTCTTCCATTAGTTGACTTCCAGCTAGGCTCAGCCAAAGGGAAATTGGAGGGCAGAGGAGTGGGAATTGGGAGAAGGAGACGAGGAAAAACAAAGAGTCTCCTTACTCTGTCTTCTGGAGCAGTGCTTGCTCTTTTTATCCCTCCAGGTTTGGGATGGTAGTAGTCTCTAATGTCAGTCTCAATCACTCTGGTAACCTCTTCCTTGCATTAAATTTTCTCTATTGCAAATGCCTGAAGTCACTTCTTTTCTTGGCTAGACCCTGACTGATCAGCGAGGGAGGCCATGAGCAGCTGATCTCAGTTGCAGTGGTAGATGAACTTGGTAGGTAAAGTAGATACAGATAGAAGAGGAGGTAGGATACAACGTCTCCTGATTTCCCTAGTTCTGGTGTTGATATCACCATCTACCCTTGAAGATATGGAGTCACCATGAGCCCTCCTGTTTCTCCTCCACATGTGATCAGGTAGCAATCTCAGAAGCTGCTATGTCTCTCACATCTATTCCCTATTCCCAGACCTACTGCCATTCCTCTAACTTAGACTCTTACTCACTTGGACTATTTGAATAGCCATCTTTGCTCTTCCCAGGTGCTGCCTTCTACCCATCTTCAACATTCCTGCAGTAATCCTTAAAGCATGGCTCCAGTTATGCCTTGTCTTGTTCCCTTAGGTTGCATACAGAACAAAATACAGAACCTTGAGCCTTTGAAATAGTATTTGAGTTAGTGTTTGAGATCTGCAAACTTTCTAGCTTTACCTCCCACCGTGTTCTATGACCTGGGCTCATGGGTCCGGATTCTCGTCCTTCTAATGCCTACATGCCTTTTGTTAAGGTACTATCTCTGAAATGATCTTCTAGACCTCAAAATGTTTCTTCTCCTTCCAGAACCTGTTCAAATGTGTCTTCTAGGTCTGGAGGTCTTTCTTGATTTTCTTAGTTGGAATGAACAGCTCCCATAACACATAGTTTATACCTACCTCTCTAGTAACTTTTGCTTCATTTTTACTGTGTTTTGTTTGGCTGGAAAAAAGCATATTTAAGACATATGTCTATTTCCATTTTTAGATTTTGCTGTAATCCTTCAAGGCCAGTGTGTTATTCATCTTTGTAACTCTCATGGTACCTAATGTTGATCTGTGAGCTATCTGGAGATAGGTCACCATTTTATTTGTCTTTGTGTCACCTAACAACCTGGTGTCTGGTAAACAATAAGTGCTCAATATTTTGACTGATTAACAGTATGAATGTTATTTGGGTAGCTCAGAATCTTGAATATTCTTTTTGGGACCCAACTGCATTCCAATAACCATTTCGAGCTATTGCTTTCACTCTCCATCCTGATCCTTTTGTTGTATGACAAGGTTATGGCCTATTTTGGACCACCCCAGAGTGGAGAATTTCTTGCTTGTTGCTTTCTGGCAAGGATGAGGTGGAGGAGAATGTGTTTGCTGCTAATTCTTTTAGTTGATGGCCAAGGGGGCAAAGCTGACTCTAGTTGTTCTCCCTATTGCCTGCGTCCTATACCAATGAAATCCAGCCTGTGTGCCAACTTTTGAAATGCCAACCCTTAAAATAAGAGTGGGGAAACACAGTGGGTTTTCACAAAAGTGTAAAAATAATTATTTTGAAGTGGTGGTCAGAGCGGGGTGTGCCCAGCCTTGAGAAGGACTGGTTTCCCAGATGCACATCTGAGCTGGAAGCCTGTGCCTCCTAAAGGAATGGTCAGAAACACAAAGGGGGTGTGAAGAGTGGGGAGGCTCTTCCTCTGTATTTGTCTATAGATGCAGCTGGCTCAGGTTTGAGTACTGTTTGAGACGGAAGCAGGGAGGGGTGTTGGGAATGCTGGATTGAGAATAAGGATGCCTGAAACACTGGACAAGAGGGCACTTTTGTGTTCATTGTGGCTCTGCCATTAACTACCCATGCCTTTGTGTACCTCATGTCCTTGAGGCTCAGTTTCTCTCATTATAAAATGAATTTTTGCATCAGGTAATCTTTGATTACTTGTGAATTTTCAGACAAAGGAATTAGTGGAGGAACAAATAGGAGCAGCAAATTAGGGGTGATTATTTTGCTTTGTGATTTTCCTCAGGTTTCTTACCCTTGCTTCTCTGAGTACTTGGAAAACAGACGTCTACAAGACAGGGGGAACTACAAATTGGGAGTTGGGACTCGGGTGAGGAGAGTATCAGCTGCTGGAGATTGGGAAATATTCCTGGGAGCCAAAATCCTGGGTGCATTTGAGGGGATGATACTGGTGAAATGTCTGTGAGCTTCTTGACTTAGGGAAAGGATTTTGAAGTCCCCTTGACATTATTAAGGCACCAAACTTTATTCCTTCCTACTTATAATAAAGAACAATGTGAGGGAGAGAAGAAAATTTTCTTCCTTTTGCATTCAGGAGAGAGTATTGTGGAGTCTTTTGTCTTGATGTAGTGGAAAATTAAGACTGTCTTTGAAAAAAATAAATAAATAAGCTAATTTTGAAAAAATCTTGCTTGGGTGGTGAAGTTACCATTGAAATACTATTCTTTCTTTCTTTCTTTCTTTCTTTCTTTCTTTCTTTCGAGTATAGCTGACACACATGTTACATTACTTTCAGGTGTACAACGTAGTGATTCTACAAGTTTATGTAAGTTTATATGTCATGCTATGCTCAGCACAATGCGATCCTCTGTCGTGATACTGTATTTTAATTTCTATTCTACAGCCTTTTTAAATAAAAAATAACAATAGTCTGTCTCAGCATAGGAGGAAGCACTGTGCTATCATTAGTGATTAGTGTGTATTATCATTTAAAGGCCATGGCTATACAAAGACATGCATGCCATTTTATTTAATGCCATGCACATCAATAGCAAGACTCCTTTTCTCTTGATTTTGATCTAATAGAAGGAAATAGTAGCTGCAGAGAATCCTCTTGAGCTTTTATTTATTTATTTTTTTAAAGATTTTATTTATTTACTTGACAGAAAGAGAGAGAACACAGGCAGGGGGAGTGGCAGGCAGAGGGAGAGGGAGAAGCAGGCTCCCTGCTGAGCAGAGAGCCGGATGCAGGGCTCAATCTCAGGACCTGAGCCTAAGGCAGGTGTTTAACCAACCAAGTCACCCAGGTGCCCTTCCTCTTGAGTTTTAAATCTGGAGGCTGATACTTTGAAAGAGGCCAACACACAGCAAACAACATCAGATATCATATCTTTAAATGAAGATATGATATTAAGGGAGGAGAATGTTTGCAATAGAGGGTCATCTGGGAGGCCTTGGAAAATTGCCAAAGTCAGGATTTAACTGAGATCCAGATTTAGATTCAGTTTTTCAAGGTCTAGATCATCT